TATTCGACCCGACTTCGTGCATCGCGGATTTTCGCCTTTTATATCACCTCCCGTGAGGAGCAAATCGATGAAGGATTGTGCGGCTACGACAACGCGTATGAGAATGAGAGCAATTGATACCGAGATAACTCATCGGTTTTTACGTAAAACATGTGCGCGATGGCCGCGATCCTACGGATGTTTTAATCAATTTTGAACTGACGTTTTTCAATCAAAATGTCATTGATCATGTAAATGAATTAATTTTCTGGTTATAAACGGTTTATACGGATATGTTCGGCGAGTATTCGGTCGTGTGAAAATTGCGTTTCAATTAATAATAAAAGCTTCGGGGGACATTTTGTTGACATATGTCGGTATATGTATAATTTAACGCGCCAGATATTGTTTGTTTGGCCAACAAAGATCAAATCTAGCGAGCGTCATATATTAAAGTATGAGCGTTACGCGAACGTTATTATCTAATGAAACGCAATTTGCGCCGCAGCGAAAATATTTGCGGTCTATAATAATTTTAACAAAGCATTAATGCGCACATAACTATCGCTTCAATTGTATTAATATATATATCGCGAGCGCGCGCTTTATAATAGAAACGTCTGTTGTCTTGCGCAATTTAAAATTCAGCGTGCAGTTTCGTGAATATTTTACACTCACGCGAAACTATGCGTGTACATTCGCATATATTGATCGCATTTTAGCTTTAAAGCCGCATCCACACCGATCGATTGTAACGTTTCACCCATTCGTTACATATAATCGGATTTTGAAATTTTCCAATAGTTAGAAAAACACTCTACGCGCGCGCGGAAGAAACAAGAAAAAATCGAACAAAATAAAATAAAATAACTGTTTCAATATTTTTAACCTATATAAAATTCTTTATTTGTATTTTTTTTTTCAAAACTAAACATTGTTTTTTAGTACGCAAACACGTCGGTGAAAATGTCACATCTCATAGCGTGACAAAAGTGAACAATTAACTGAACATTTCAATATCAAACTTTAAAATAAACAAATCGAATTTAAGTGATGATTCGATGTACATGCTAATAACTTCTAATATCGTGAATTTAAGAGTCCGTTTCAATTATCCTCACCGAAGTTTCGCGAGTCAAAATGTTATTTGTGTAGATTGTGTTACGTGCTGAGACAATGTGTTGCATTTATCCGCTTTGATGTGCGCATTAAAAGTGAAGCCGGCATATGAAGATATAGGGGAAGGTAATTCGGTATGAGCCAGACAACTTCTGCACACATGCTCAACAATGTCATATATCACGATTAACTTGACTTAATGCTTGCGCAATGCGCTCGTTGTGAACTTAAGATAATGTTAATCACTACGTTGTCGGGAAGGAATTAGTCTCCAAAGTCACGCAACCATTTAAGTTAAATCCAACAATTTTGTATAAGCAAATGAAAATCTACGTTACATAAAGAGCGTGTCATACGCGCGGTAATTTGTGTGGATGAATTTTTGTTTTGTTTCTGGAAACACGTGTTTTGTGAGACGCAACACAGATCCGGAAATGTATATAGGATAAAATTCATAAATGTTTAACCGCGTAATTATTGTTACATATATTACACCGAGCGCGTGGGGTGTTGGGACAAAAAACTTCACGTGCATATAAGAGATGTCACTTTTTTATGCATGAGAAACGTGTCCGAATTTAAATTGGTGCTACATGAATTAGTTTGATCCGCACATTTTTTATCCGATTAGTCACACGTAGTTAAATAATAATCTTTCTTTTTCAAAAATAAAACGTATTAAAAAAAACTAATTTATAACTTAATAATAAATTATATAATAAATTTCACACACGCGTATATGTGTGTTATATCATTCATATAAATTATGTAACACAGTTCAAAATTGCAAGTATTCAATTATTTACTTCAAAGTTTTTAAAATCGTTAATTGATTCATTTCGATTAGAGTTCAATTTTAATGACATTCCATTTTTAATTTTTTTAACAACACGTACAAAATTTCAAAATTTTTTATAAAGTGTTTTTTTTTTAAGTGTTATTTATGTATTTGCAAATAAAATAGATTGCGTAACTCAGTTACTAGTCGTGTTAAAAAATAGTTATAAAAATTTAATAATCGATTTTTGAAATGGACATTCAATGTAAAAAATTTCGAAATTTTTTATAAAGTGTCATTTGCAAACAAAATAGATAGCGTAACACAGTTACTAGTGGTAAAAGATAGTTATTAAAGTTTAATATTCGACTTTTGAAATGGACATTGAATGCAATGGCCTTTGACTATTTGCCTACATGGCAGTTGTGTCTGTCCAAACGTAGGTATATATATTATACTGTGGCTGTAAATAGGTAGATATGTACTACTGCGGTCGTGCGAAATACCACTGTAATATATATTCACCAAAAAGCGAATAGAATTCTATACACGCGATACGATCCGTGATGACCTGTATAAGCCTCAGAAAGCGACTCTTTGGTTCTTTGTAATCAGAAAAGTTAATATAACCGTATTTGTGTTTGAACGGTGCGTGTGTGTGTGTGTGTGTGACAGAGAAATACGGTTATCTTTAAAATGAGAAAATCTGATCAATATAAAACTAATACTTGCACAATGAATAAAATAAATAATAATTTTATAAATAAATAAATAACAATAATAATTTTATTTTAGTAAATTTATTTAATATAATTTTTTTTTATTTATTGATATTGTGTGTCCGAGTTTTAATTTATACAATCAATTTATTTATTAAATTAGAGTTTATGTTTGCGCGCGATTTAGTTTGCGAGGTAAAAATATTAATAACACAAAAGCATGCAAAATGTATCTTTTTGATGTAAGAAATGATTTATATTAAATTTCAAGTACCGGTAATTAGAACATATTTTGCGGCGCGATATTTTATGCGTAGCAAAACCAAAGTATGAACAAGCGAGAGAAAATATACATCTTGCGCGTTTCACCCTTTCAGAGTTCGTGTTACCACGTAAAAACAATTCAAATTTACAATGCAAAGCCCGATCTTACAACGAATCGCGCATTATTTGGGGATTTTTCACGAGACAAGACTTGCTCATCGCGAGAATTTGTACGAATTTGTGCAGTGAATAATCTGCGATTTTATGCTGTGGCTTATGCTGAATATGTCTAGAAATAAGAATAACAATTCCTTGAATCTATTGTAAGTTAGCAACGCAATTAAAATGAAATCAATGAAAATTGTCGAGTGAAAAAGACATGAGGAAAAAAAGATTCTCAAAAGAGATTAAAAGACAAAAGCGAGAATCCAAGAAATCTAAAGAGATAGATTCAAAAGTTCAAAGAAAAGTAAAACTTTCAGGGGGGAAAGAAGCTTCAAATATTTTATGTTCCCGATCCTCGAGAAGGATATATAGTTGCCCGGTATCGAAGTTTCGAGACAAAAATTTAAGACGATTATAAGTTGCATGAATATAAAAAGTCTCAGAGATCTGGAATTGTATAAATAATTCTATAACAATTAAGATCTTAAAAAGATCTAACGCTTACCACGTTAAAAATTTAAAAGCTAAAAAGCTAAAAGCCTATAAAAATAGTACAAAATCTTTAATTAATATACACAAAAGGTTTTGCAATCTCTTTTGATATTTTATGTAACGTAATATTGCTCTTTGTTATTAATATAGAGAGAGAAATTTATACAAATCATTATTTTTGTATATTACATTTGTGCAACTATTTTCAATTATTGTTTTTTCATTTTATTTTTAAATTTTCTAGATAAAAAGCACTTGCGTGCAGTTTCTCAATTAGTATTTTTAATTAAACGATAACACATATATATAGTCTGATAAAGTGTTAACTTATTAAAATTATAAACAATTTAACTTAATATCATAATTTTATTCCAGTATTTTACTCTTTTTTAATATCCGAACACACATATAGATCTCTCGCTTTCAATATGCACGTAAAAATTCACCGTATGTAATAAATCGCAATATCATACGATAGTTCTCGAGTCCTTAAATAACTGAGACAAAAAAGCGCGGTTTTCTATTTCTGAGGAAATTTCAGAAATATGACGAGAAATATTCCACGTGGTTCAAACAACCAAGGTACAGCAACCATTTGCGATGCAATTCTTTGTAGAAAAGTTGAAATATATGTGTTACGTACACGCTGTGCATCTTGCGTTTTATCCTCAAAGACCGCATCATCCTGTGGTCGCTGAAAACAATTTAAATTTGCAATGCAAAGTGGTAATAAAGTCTCAACCAGCACGCAGCGTGCGATTTGCGAACTGTATCATTTTTAGTTTGCTTTTTTTTTTTTTTTTTGACCAGACGAAGAAAATTTCTTTACTCCGACCTGAAAATTTATGAGCGGTGTCCGTACTACTCTACACGCACATGTACATACACACGCACACATATTCTATCTCTGCGAAACGTATTCTGAAATTATTTCACGATTGCACAAGTAAATAGCAACCGCGCACAAACAACATGAACACGAAATGTCTATGATAATATAATTATCAAATTTTACGATTATAAAATGTTAATTTTTTTTAATATGTTTTCGAAACAGCACGCATTTCTCTCGACAACTGTTTATTACTTTACGTTCCTGCGTGTACGAATGACATTTCCATTTCCTTAAACTTTATAACGCTCGTGCGCAGATGACGTTTTTATATCCGGTTTAATTCACATTTTTGTACTTGGTCATATACACATATAATATAAATTTTATAAATTACGCAAAAAAAAGTAGACACTTCTTACGTACCTAATGTTATTATTTGGTCAAAAAACCTTTAAATTAAATTGCTAAATATTCTCATAATTTTCTCGTTTCTCTTTTCTGAAATTAAGCAAACGACGTTTCTAACGAGAGAGAAGCGGAAAAGTATTAAAATAGAAAATCTCTTAATTTGACAAAGGGAAAAACTAAATATTAAAAAAAAAAAAAAAAAGAATGAGAGGGTAAAGAACTCGCACACATAACAACCCGATTATTTCCAAACCTTTATTCGTACAGAGCTGTCGGTGTACATTAGAAATATGCAAGGTTTGTTTCACCGTTTTCGAAGAAAATAATGAAATTCGTTCTTAAAAGTATGCTCCAACGTGGACGATTCGAGCGAGAACGATTGGAGCGTCAACGCGGGCAATTGCCTTTTATTATTTATACAAGTACGAATATTACACTCCACGATATAAGTAACATACATTAAAAATGACGAAACTTTAATTACAGGATGGACGATTGAGAAACGTACGCAATTTACGCGCGCATTGAATCCGATCAATTATCACCCCACCAATGCGCACGTATGCGTACGTATCACCGATTAGGATGACGCGGGCGATGTGTGATACGGAGCAATTTTCTTTTTCGAGCACATGAGATGATGTGCCCTCTTCTGATGTATATACATATACGTATGTACATAATATATATAACAGATATAATGTACATAATGATATACATATATATATATACACACACTCTCTCACACACACACACATTTGTCGTTTGTCCGACGTGAAACGGCAACGGTTTCCCAAAATAAAACCCGTCGCTCGTTGTTTCTGACTTATCTTACTTTTTCACGGCGAGAGTTTAAAAAGTCGACAAAGAAATCTCGCAGCTCGGCGACGATTCCTCAAACTTCGCGTCGCGGATCGTTAACTCTTAATTAATCGCTAGTTGTGTATTTAGTACAGGACTACGAGAGACAGAGAGAGAGACGATGGTCGGCGATGTGACGAATGTGAAACTGCGACGAGAACGAAGAAAAACGGTACAAGGATGTATAAGGATGAGAGAGAGAGAGAGAGAGAGAGAGAGAGAGAAAGATGGAGAGAGGTAGAGAATACTCTCATTCTAGAAGGGGCAAAACGAAATAGAAAAGTTCAGGAGCGCGGGATGTACATCGCTAGAGATATCAGCACACGATAATAACAGGAGCAAAACTGTAGCGAGAAAGTAGCCAACGCGCGTTTCGATGACGCCATCTCCGTTTTCTTCCGACAACGCGTTCTTTTTCGTTTCCAAACATGACAAGTTTAACACGCTCGTGATATCGAGAATGACGTTCTATATATATATATATATATATACATATATATATATATATATGTAGCACATCCGTTTCGCGGCGCGCGTGAAAGGCCCGGATAATGAGATTTTTTTTTTCGCGAGAAACGCGAGAGACTACGCTCGCAATGTACTCAGTCGTCCACACAGCGGTTGTACATTAATTATTCTTTACCGCCGTATAACGAGAACTCCCGTCGGTCTTGGTCGAGAAAAAAAAAAAACAACCGAAGAGAGGTCGCGATCAACGAAGCGAGCGGAGACGCGGCTCTGTGTCTCTTTCTCTCTTCTTCAAGTTAACAATCAGAATCGTCGCGAGGTGGATAATTCCGCCTCTATTGTTATCACGAACAACGATCAATTGAGATAAATAAGAAAAAGAAGAAAATTCCCGACATTAAACCACGAGCCTCGGCAGGTCAAATCCTTCTCGCTCGAAGCTTGGCGCTCACGAAGGGGATTTCCGCGCGCAACGACAATATATTTATACAATACATGTCACCCGATCGGTGACGCGCGATTGTTTTTACTGATAACAATAAGTACTAACAATAGTAGCGATGACAATAATAATCAATAATAATAATAATTGTCATAATAGTAATAGTATATTATCAATAACAATAATTTATTATCGTCCGCAGCGACGACGCGTCCATCTGTGCGCTTTTCTTCTTACGCGAAAAAAAAAAATATATATATATATAATGTATATATATAACTATTTATGACATCTCTCTGTTTTATATATATCGCCGCATGCGCGACGGATATTTACAATTAATTAACTCTCGCGAGATTATACCGGACTCCCCGGCGACGAACCCCTCGCTCCGCTCTTTTCTTCTTCTCGCACGAGACACTTTCGACTCTTTGAACACAATCCTACGGTTTATATAAATTTTTTTTTTTTTTTTTTTTAGCTTCAACTGTTTTCCCGCAGATGATACATTTTAGGAAGGTGTTTCTAAAAAGTCGCGTTACGCGGCTCGTGCGAAAGAAACGTCAGGTTGACGATTTACTTAGCGTGAAACGCCCTTTTCAACACGGCAGCCTCCGGTTGCGAAAGTTACGTCGCTGCTCGAAACTGCTCGTCGTTCGTTCCCGCAGAGTTCACCGCTCGACTTCCTCCTTTTCCTCCTCCTCCTCCTCCTCGTCGTCAATTCGTCCCGAGAAGCCGAACGACTCTTCATCGGGTCGACCTTCTTCTTCGTCCGTCATCCGAGTCGCTATACGACTCCGACGGCTGTGCAGCTTCACGTGCAAGTCGCCATATGTTGCAACGAGTCGCAAGAATCCTCGGGAGATTTTTCAAAATGTGGTGCGAGGTTGTCCCTCGTTCTTCGTTCGCGTTTTCACGCGATAAGATTCGAGACGCACACACTCCCTTTATCTCTCTCTTCAGCGTCGAACATCATCTCGTCGAGAGTGTTCTCTCTCTCTCTCTCTCTCTCTCACTATGTCTTACTCTTTCTTCTTTTTTTTATTTGTTTTTCTCGCGATTTGTCCGCTGGATAAACGCGAGCGCGCGCGCGGACGGACTGTGGCATCATTGAGCGTTCCAGGTACGGGTGACGGTCTTTTTCTCGTCGAACCGAACGTTTCAAGCTACGGAGGATTCCGTCGTTCGTGGCTGGCGGGAAAACTTGGAGCACCTAATCTTCGCGTTCATTGAGAACGGGCGGGATATGACGTCTTCCGGAAACTTGAGGGAAAAAAGTCCTGATAGAAGGGTCGCGTTTGTGTCGTTTCAAACCGAAGGGGGGGGGGTCTTCCGATGATCTCTTCTCTCGCGGAAGACAGGAAGAGAGACTCTCTCGAAGGCGGCAATCTTCATTATCGTGCGGAAATTGGCCTAACCGCGTATCAGAGAGTGTCATGAATAATAGATCAACAAACACACGACAAACGTAGAAATAACATCGTGTATTTTTCAACTCATGTGAGAGGGAAAGGACTTAGCTGTCCCTACCTCCCCTTGTACGTGTTAGCAGATCGAAAATGGAGATTGTTGCCTTTTTCTTTCATACATCCGAGAGCACAGCCGTCGAGTCTGTTAGAGGAAGATGTTGCTCGGCGGAATCTTCATATTGCAAAGAAAATAGAACGGAAAAGAAAGAAAACAACAACGGGACAGGAGAAGAAAATGGAAAAAAAAAAGAAAAAAACAGAGTGTCAAAATCGATAAAGCGATACAAAAGGAGGAAGAAAAATAGCAAAGATAGACGGGAAAGAAAAAGAGAGAGATGAGAATGAACTTAAACAAAGAGAGAGAGAGAGAGAGAAAATAAGAAGATCAACTCATTTCCTCGCGCGTCGGAATATATAATCTTACTTTTCGGACCTCGCTTAAACTTTTGGAAAAGATCGTCGTCGTGAGCGCAGACTCTTTTTGAAGCGTAATTAATCAACGGTTACTTGGATAGAGAAGAGTTACGCGACCGTTACGTTATACTGATGCGTTAACCGCGGGAGAGTCAACAAACTGAGTGTTAAAAAAAGATTGTTTTAAGGAAGTTAAAAAAGGCAAGCGCTCTTTCACCTTCTCGCGATCTACATTCAGCAGCATCGTTCCTCGATTAAAGAAAAACCTAAAACTGAGCTGCATCAACGCAGTTTGATTTTGTTTTGTTTTCTTTTTTTTTTTTTTATAGCTAATCTCGTACTAAAATTCCATCGATACAAGGTGTTAAATAAAAAACGCGTGAAAACGTGTCGTTCATGCGAAACAACATAGATTTTGATCAAAATATTCAATTTCTTGTAGAAAATATAAAAACGTTCGTGTTAAAAATGATTGTAGCTCGTAAAAAGTTTGTACCGCCACGTTTTTTTTTTGCGATTTTGCTATTTGATTTCGCGAGTGCAACGGTTCTCACAACAGTCTTCGCGTTTTTCTTAACACCCCGTATGGACGAGAAAGATAGCCGAAAAAAAAAAAAAAAAGATTAGCGTTAACCGACCGGTCGACGCAACCGGATCTAAGAAGGCACAGTCGTTGAGTTAAGAACGTTAGTGTGGCCACCGGAAGATGAAAAAGTTTTCTCCCAAAGCTCTGCTCGTTCGCTTCGCTTTCGTCGTTTCGACAGACGACGACCTCGACTCGAACGATTCCTCGCGCATTTGCGGAGACAGGAAGAAGAGAAGACCGGGAGGGAAGAAAGGAAGCGGCGACAGCGGCAAGGTGGTTGCAGCGCATGTTATAGCTGGCGAATCGAAGAAGTTTCCGAAACTGCGGGTTCGACTTGGGTAGTAGTTAGCCTAGTAAGGTTGGTTATATTCGAGAGCGTTGCTTGCTAACTGCTGCTACTGTTGCTGCTGCTGTTTTTTCTGCTGTTATTGTAGCGTTCTGTTACTCTGCGATGCTTGTGCGCAAGCGCGCCGATTTAATTCACGCTTTCGTTCGTTCGTCTGTGCTTTGGTAAATTTTTTTATTTTTTTTATTTTTTTATTTTATTTTGTATGTGGTTTATCGGGTTGAGCTTTTTGCGCGCTCGGCGGCGAAGTGCGTAAAGATCTGTGCCTCGCGACGAACCCATTCAATTTGACTGCCACTTGTCGACGACCACTTCATTTACTGCAACATAACACACACCAAGAGCGATTAAAGCGCGCCGGAGATCTGGGGTGTCGAACTAAAAGACGAAAAGGTTTCACAGCGACCGGCTGTTTAAAAGCTCGAGCGTTCGAGCGAACACTACCTTCGGGCCTTTTCCAAACTCGACTACGTCGGTCTGAAACGATCGGTCCTCTCGGATTAATTGGGTTGGATGGGTGCGCTTTGCTCGAACGAATGTACGGACTCTTTACGTTAAAGGAACGAGATCGATTATATAACGTACATGATTTTATAGAATGATACTGATTTATCGGGGGATGTGCATTAAACTCACACACAAATATAAATTTCTTTTTTTGTAAAAGAGTATTTTTGAATGTGAACATATTGCTAATTACAATTAACGTTCGTTTCGTTAGCGGAGACACGCGAAACAAAAAGCAGCTTTCGACGCAATTCAAGTAGAATCGATATATCCTTAAAGTTGCCTTATCATCACAATATCATAACGTTAAGAAACTACCGGCGCGTACAACAGTAATAAATCAGTAATGTGTCAATTACTCTAATCACCAATAGACTACTCGTACATTCGTTCTCTGTTTTTTTTTTGTTTTTCTGTTTTTTTTCCTTGCGGGTGATCGATCTCGTATACGTCGATCGCCGCGCACAGAACGTGCACGTGCCAAGCGCAACGTGTACGTGTGTGATGATGGATAGATCGATTGATGCTTATCGTGATGTGAGGGGATACTTTAGTTGCGCATTTGGGTGGGATGGGTTTGTTTTTCTGTTATAAGACGTCTTCCGGTCTCTTCGAGCAGCTCGTGAGTGTAGTGTGAGTGCTGAGTTGCCGATTTCTCGGCTGCGGCCGATTAGGTGTCTCTCGCATTCGCCCTAAGCCCCTCTGATCTTTTATTTCACTGGCGTCACTGGCGGTGCCACTGTAATCATACGAGGGGTAACATCGATTATTTCACCACACGGCCAAGCTACTCTCGCTGGCTCAGCTTGCAAGCCTTGCGCGTCTCTCGTCCACTACGGAGCAGGATGCAGCTTCTAGTGGTAATCGATGCAAGCCTGGCGATGCGTTAATACACAAGAGATGTGTGAGCGCGTGTGTGTCTAATTGTTAGGAGAAATGGGGAAGGTTTAGGTGTGTACGTGTGCGAGGTACGAGATAAGTTACAATATGTATATTATAAAAATTAATCCTCGAAAACTTAATGTACAAATGAAATGCAAAACAATAATTAAAAAAAAAAAATGCAAGAAAGTAATATGAGGAATGTATGTAAATTCACGTATAAAAATGCAATATTTTACATATAATAACTATGTGAAAAAAAAGAAATACAAGAAAGATCTTGCTAGATTACGTCCGCTTTCATCTGTTAATTGAACTTCTTAATTAATATTATAGAAGAAGAACACAAATATGTCAGCAGCTCGAAGACAGCTTTGAAACGCATGTGTGTGATTGCCGTTGTAGCGTAGTATAAAGCTATCTCGCTGATTTAAAAGATTGACAAGTTTCAACGTTACCTGTGTCATTCGCGTGCGAAGATCATCCCCGGAGATCGTTCTTCTTGTGACTGTACGGTTTGGCACACCAGCAGGCAGGGAAGTTAGCAAAAGGTGTGTCGAGATGTGTCGGGGAGTGTTTTTCGACATCTTTGTTTTATTTTTTTGTTTTGTTTTGTTTAGGGATTCGGGTCATTCCGACAGTTATTATATCGGTTTTTTTTTCCAGTGAACGCATGCAAAAACTTCAAACAGCAAATTTTGAAGAGGGAAAGCGGAGAAGGGGTGTAATGAGATACACAGCAGCCGCGATGAATTAAAAGATTCGTGGACTCTTCGAGAAATGACGGAAGCATTTCGGCATCATGTCAAGGTGTTTTATTTTCCGAAATCTTGCCTTCGAACGACGTGACGATCTGTACAAGGTGGTGGTACATCTGCTGATTTATAAGTCCTTGCGAATCTTTTGTTTTATGTAAAAAAAAAAAAAAAAAAAAATACAACATTTGTGTGGGGATTACACAAGCAGGGCTGCCTTAATCATTGGATGAGTGGACCGTTTTGATCATTTTATTTCATCAAAGGTACCATATATATATATATATACTCAATATTTTTTTCTATATCTAAATATATTAGAATTTTTGTTTTTACTAATCTTGTATTCTTCATTTTCGAGGCGAAACTGTAAGTATTGTATGTACATGTGAGTTTTGTTTTACAAATTTTAAAAATATAATTAAAATTTTGATAATTTGCTTTTTGTTAACAATTATACAAAATTATAAATAAATAAAGACTTAATTTTACACGGTTCTAACTTTATATCTGTTGGTGTTTCCTGTGTAAACTTTTGGCCCACCAACGTCTGAAATGTCTTAAGCCAGCTGGTGGTTACAATGAACACTCAGAGTGTTGTGGGATAGATAACAGAGATAACGAGAGAAAAACGTTTAAGAGAGGGGGGTTTTAGGCGGGAGCAAACACAACCAAACACTTATTACGTCCGAGTGTGTGTGCTAAGTGTTCGATTTGATGATATATTATATGTTGTACGCGGCAGAGCAACCGCCACGTAAGCGGAAATCACTCGCTCAAATTAGTAGGCCAATCATTGAGAGTCGAGACACGCATATTAGTAACACATGATTCTTTTTATTATAACAAGTAATTAATTAATCCACTAATCATATTTCCACTGTAAGATATACTCTCACTTGTTATAATATCGTTTTTTTTTCTTTTTGTTTTTTTTTTTTTTTTTCGTACGAGCTCGAATCGAATACATGACAAAGACGAAGAATCATACGACGAAATGAACGAAATTTGCGAACGTCAAACGCAGGAAATGACAGGTAAATTACATGACGACGGAATTATACCTATGTGTGTATAGACTGCTGGATCGTAATCCGTGTAAACAGCCGGATTTTTCTTTTTCTCTATATATATATATATATAGATATAATTTTTGTTTTTTATTTCTCTGTCTCGTATATCTAATTTCAATCACATCCGGAATGATCACATTCCGAATGTCGCCGCGGTACGCGACAAATATACATATATATATATATATATATACTCGAAATCACTCAATGTCATAGTATAAGTTAATAATTAATTACTTTTCTTATTATCGTTAGAAATAGGTACTTCCTGCACAAGAAACGACGTGATCGTAGTCTCATCGTCGCTGGACACCGCGTTTGATTGTCGACGTCACACAAGAATCAATGAGAAAGTTGTCCAGCTACGGACATTAAAATTTTTTTTGACAGACGGAGAGGTATTAATCCGTGCGAAGATTACAGTCAATAAGTTGTACTTGATATGTCAACTATAACAAAGAGCTACCATGTTAAATTTGTTTCGTTTGGTTTTCTTTTTCTTTTTTCTTTTTTTTTTTTTGGTTTTGAGTTTTTTCTTTTTTTTAACAGAGATAATAAATATCGATCTCTTGTGCTAAAAACTTGCACTTTCCGACAGAACGCATCGATGTTTGCATGACGTCACGCAGTATTCTTTCGTCGAGATGGCACTACTCCGTCATTCTCGATAAACGTAAAATACAATGCACACTCAAGTACTTACATATACATCGTGGACGAATCGGAGACCCGAATGCGAACGAGTCGTAAGCGACGGATCTCAAAGAAATCAGACTCAAACGCACATTTCCGAGACAACATTGCGCGCATCTGTACAATTCTATGTCTTACTTTACGTGTTTCCACAGATCTTTTAATTGATTAATACTTCATGGATTTTTAACGTTCAGTTTCAAAAGCTTCTTCGAAAGATTAATCGCTCGTATCATCTCGCATTCCAAGAGTCTCCGATTAATTTCGTCAAAAATTCATTGAGCGTCAAAGAACTGCATTAGACTCTTCATACTGGCATTGATCCTCTCACGCGCGTACCTGTGCTCCGATAAACCGTGCCTAATTTTATCTATTTCTATCACACTAAAATCGTATTTTTTTTTTTTTTTTCAAATCGGATATATTTCGAATAAATATCGTATCCAAAATTCTGTCTGTGCGTTAATAAATTAAGTTAAATTACGACGACGCTAATTTTTTTTCGTTTTTGGTTTTTTTTTTTTTTTTTACATTACTTCTGACACTCTCGTGATACATTCAATGATTTGAGAGAAACACACAATCAAAGTATTATTTACAAATATTCTCCGCGGTGGCTTTCTTTTGTCACACTATCTTACAATTTACAGAGTTTATGAGAGCATACAAAAATGAAGATCTCGCGACACAGGTATTGGCCAAGGGATGTACGCCGGTATTACTCGCTAAAAAAAAATTAAACTGCAGAACGAAACACTATTCGAGACACAAAGTTCGTTAGTGCGACAGAGCTCTAACTCATTCGGTCTGAATTAAGTTTTAGTTATGCCCATACCAAAAGTATCACGCCTTAACCGTTACTAATTTAATTAATTAATTAATTAATTATATTACACTGGTCGTTCCGCGCGACTGCGGACGACCTCTTTAAAGCGCCGTGGCCGGAGCTTAATTAAATTATTATGAATGCGCGAAAAACGCAGCGAACACACGTTCACTTCTCTTCGGAACACATCGTCAGTCTTGTTGCGTTTACACGTGCGCGAGGAGTAAAGGCCGGTCCGCGCAGGTGGCAGGTCTCGCGAAACTGACCGATCAGATTGGTCCGATGGATCAATGTGAACAAATCAAATTTCTTCTCGCGATCTGCGACTTTTGTAGACCAGCGCTTAATGTGCGCTGCGTTTTGCGCGCTAAATCGCGGTCGATTTACGGTGATTCCTACAAAGATCTGGATGAAACTTTAGATTGTACACTGCTAAAGGAAGCATAAACTCTTTGAAAAAAAAACCCTCGAGTCACGACATCGCCCGTAATTTGTTTTTGCAAGCTATTTTTCTTTTTGGTTCTTTATTATTTTTCAATACTTTTTAGTTTTTTATTATTGTTTAATTTAAAGCAATAAAGAAGCGTTTTTTTTTTTAAATTAAATATCGTAAAGTAAGATAAAGATCTTACACGCGTTATTCAAATAAGGATATCTGGGATTAAGATAATGCTGTTTCTGTCAGCAGTTTTCGAGACTTTAATCTTTCTTGCTTTAATTATTGATCGCTTGTTTTATAAACATTAAGACCTGCGAATTATGCTTCCACCAACAGGATACGATCTAAGGGATGAACTGACTAAGCAGCCAGATGCATCAAAGGCCCACGTACTCATGACGACACCGATTATTCGTTTTCATGTGTGACGTATGCAATATTAAAGCAGTGACCGAACATGTTTTTATTGTTTATACATAGTTTTATTTGTCTAGAACGTGTGTGATTGTAAAAACAAACCTAAAGGATTTTAGAAATATTGTGAGTGTGTCACCGACTGAGCGTGTGCGTCGTCGTAGTTATGAAGTAATTGAATATTTGCGTATTTCGTGTTTGTCGCGCCGCAAACGGCCAAGATACACACGTTAATTCGACACCGCACAGTCTCATGAGTCGCTCATGCCGAAACGTGCTTCACACAATATTTAAGGTTTAAGTAAGAGATCTTCGTTCCCCCTCTCACGCCGTGCAAGATGGCAAAGCAACGCAAAAGCAAAAATGTTGAAGCCATTGTTAACGGTCCCGAATCCAAGAATTGCCTCTTAGCAAACCGTCCAATCGAACTAGGTACGTAAAATTGTTACGCGTCATAGAGCAGTTAGGTCGCGACCTCAAACCCTTTTATATTTGAGCAAGCTGCGCAAAACGATATCTAAAATCGAATGAGACCTCGTGAGAGCGTGTCGTCTAGTCCAGAGTCTTCCAACACGGCGTGCGGTTTACGCCATAAGATTTCTATGCAGTCACGTGATCAGTTGGAAGGCTCTGGTCTAGTCTAACAATGTCGTAACGAGGCAAAGCGTGCAACAATATTTGAAACAAAAACGGTTTTCGTACGTTCGATCAAGAGTTATCGTTGCGCGGAAAAAGTCCGTTTATACATGTGTATAAGTATATCTTATAATAATTACGATGTGTACTTGGTCTAGACGAAGTCATGGAAGGATGTGTTCCGATTGTCGATAGTATTGATTCTACTACCTAGAATTTCGACCAACTCAGAGAGTATTACAGTGAACAAAGAATAGTCTAAGATAAATGTAACAAATGCACACAGAGATTTTTTAATCTAAGCATTGAAGCGCCATGTGTGAGAATATTTTTATTTTATTTCTTTCTTTTTAATATAAAAAAAAGCTGTGTACCACTGCCAAAAAATGTTATAGTAATGTGATTTGTGGCATTATAGTTTACAGACTTGAGTTTTTGTAAAAGAGACTACATTTCGTATTTGCACTCAAAACATTTGTCTTCCAATCCAAAAGATTTGTTTTTACAATCAATACACAATATACACACTTCGTAATAATTTATTATCTAAGTATATCGAGAAAAAAATCGTTCTTTTGTATAATTTCATTAATATCAGAATTTTACAATTTGAAATGTTGTAAGATCTCTTAACTATTTAGAAACAATTTACTTCAAACATGTGTAAATAGATTTTGGGAGTAAAGGACAGAAAATACTGCGTTTTTGATTAATTCTATGCTTATAACATATGTAAATAAATAACTTAATAAAAAAAAAAAAAAAACTGACCGATTGTTAGTTTTGATAATCAGTTTTTATGTTCGGTTCACTGCTCTGATAGAAAGTGAATGAAAGTGCATTGGAAAAAAAAAAAAAATATGGACTGCCCCCTTCCGTTTCGAGCATATAAGAAAGATAAATAACACATTACTATTTTCCTCTGCGTTGAACAATTGCATTATTTTACACACTTACGAGTCTTTGCAGTCCACATCTGGAAACTAGCAATACACTCTTTTGCGTAATCTTTCAAATACATAAATCACACGTATGGGTTACACACAGAGGGAACAGATGTTGGTGTCGCGAAAAAAACAGTGCAAAAAGTTAGAAGTTAATCCCACTGTGCCAGTCGCGCATTGATGTTAACAATTTCCGTTAAAAAAATTTGTGACTATTGCGACTATTTGTGACAATTCAGAGGTCGGATTATGTAAGATGTTTACTTCGCGATTGTCTGTTATGTCCGTTAAAGGCTAACACATAACTCAAGATCCAAATAGAGAAACAGAATAATTAACAAAAACATCGACCGAAGAAGTTTTGCTGCTATATTACGAACACATCTAAAAAAACGTGCGTAGTATTTGATTGTGTGGCACAGCAGGATATACATATACATATATAACACGTACAACAAAAATAGATTACTACCAGAAAGGACCTTACAAAACCGTGCTGTGTTAATTACACCTTGCATGCATATTACTTCTACGGGAAGGAAGACACATTATGCAGGATACAAAAATGAGATCCGTTCGTGCGCAGTCGATCCTTGCACGATCATTCTCTTGAAACTTTCAGCATGTGCTCAGACAGCTCCGGTTCTGACTTCAGGGTTGGAACGGGCACACCAGACACTAAGAATCCATCAATAAATGATGATTTATAACAAGCAACACTTAAAGCGGTGGAAAAAAGAAAAAAACAAGCAAAATTTAGTAAACCATTGTACACATTAAATATTGCGCGAAACGAGCGTTGTGTGCTAATTGGTGCGTGCGTGCATTGAACCAGTCTGAAAATAAAAATCTCAGAAAACAAGAATTACATAATTCCCACTAAGGTTCGTTTATCATCATTCCATCTGTATTTCTGCCAAATATCTTATTGTCTTCGTTATGTTTGTGTGTGTGTGTGTGTGTGTGTATATGTGCAAATGCGTATTACTCTAATAAGAATATTCATGTGACACGTCACGAGTGTATATTGGTATGCGGCAAAATCGAGTAAAATAATTCTCGTTTGAGGAGAATTATTTTGCACTTTTCAAATCATCAAAATATATACGTTTCACACGATCATACTCGTATAAAAATTTGTGAATATAACGTTATTATATATTGGCAACAAATATAGATGGAGGACATGCGTGAATCTCAACCTGGGGAATGTTTTGTCTGTGTGTTAGTGCGCCACAGGACTTGTCACACTTCCAATGTTATACTTATACTGAGGAGTGCATACAACACAATAAACAATAAAAAACGAAAAAGAAAAAAAGTGCATACAAAAGAGGAATGGATCGAATAATCGGGATGTCATCAAACACATAATATCTCTATGTTGGAAAGAACATCTATACGAATAGGTTTTTTTTTCGTGTTTGTTGCAGAGGAAATTCAATATTCAAAAGGCACTCGTAGAAAATAATTTAACGATCACAATCTTTGATTTTATGACAGGGTCTCTCGCTTAGAGACATCACTATCGATGCCACTCGAAACCCGTGATCGTTGAGCGACGTCGGGATACGGTGTGTAATGCCAAGGGCATGGTGGGCCTTGGTGGTGGTACATCTCGTAATATGGTCGTACTAACACCATGCACAACAGTCAAAACTCGTTAAAATCTCACTTGAACGCACTTTGTTAATAACTTATCTCTCGCACCTTCCCGCGTCACGATGGGAAGAGCTTCGGTTAAATGCAACTGCGAGTCCAATGATTTAGTCGCGGATGATTTTCCATAGGAAAAAAACATCGTTTGCTAGACTAATTAATTAGTACTTTACGGATGTTCTATATGGGACAGACATACAACAGTTCAAAGAACACAGCCCACATTAGAACGATCCAATGCACGGTGTAAATTGGATTCTCACCGTCTGTGATCTTTCTGGCAATGAACTTCAAGGTTTCGTCGAGAAGTACCACTGGAATGGAGAACTTCATAACAGTAACCCATTCTTCAGCCGTTAGCGGGGTCACTTGAAACACGGACTGAAAACAGAAGAGTTAACGGTGTTCACGATCTCTCAAAACTGCGAATCTTTCACATCTCAAACTGATCATAGAATAACTTCTCAGATATTTGTTGTTGTAAATACAATGCAAATAAATTCTACTTACCGAAAGAACATCGATGTACAAGATGACGAAATGGAGTGTGAAAGAAAGAGCCATGGAAGCGATGAGCCACAAGTTGGACCAAGGTGGCATGGTGATGAGAGACTGATTCTCAGACAAGCTGTGAGTAATCACGGATTTTTTTTTTTTAATCATAATCGCAATTCTAAGGAAAACATAATTCTTACGCAATGTACGTTATCTTCTTCTACCTGTTCATGGCGTTTAACATTTCAATAGTGACCAGTACAGAGAGAGCCATAGTCATGGGATGAGGATCAGAGAAGATTTTGCAATTAATGCCCTTGAATTCCTCTCCGCCACCAAGACACGACAAATGATGAGTCTATGCATTGTATAAAAAAATTGATGAAAATAAATAGATAAAAAAAGTTAATTAAATAAAAAAGTTTGATTCTTTTTCTCTGCAATTCTAAAATAAAAATCATGGATATAAACAAAACTTTCATCAAAACTTACCACTTGGTAGTAGTTCATTTGAGGTCCATTCGGACTGTACATGAACCACCAAGCAGCCGAGCCGACAGTGGCAGCGCCTACGTATCCACCGATAGCCAAGTAGCGGAAAAATAGCCATCCAGAGATCAAAGATTCGTCAGACTTGCGAGGAGGCTATGAAAGAACGCATAATAGTCTCGATAAATCTTAATTCTTAAAGTAATAATGTATCTCTTTTTGATTGCTACTTTACCTTGCTCATAATGTCCAAATCGGGTGGATTGAAGCCAAGAGCGGTGGCTGGAAGACCATCAGTGACCAAGTTGACCCACAGAAGTTGGACCGGAATCAGAGCTTCAGGAAGACCAAGAGCGGCAGTCAAGAATATACTACAAAGTAACGTACAAATAGTAGTGGAAATCCGGTTCTCATTATATTTTTCTTAATTGCACTCATATCTTGTAAATACCTGACGACCTCGCCAATGTTGGAAGAAATGAGATAACGAATGAATTGTTTCATGTTATTGTAGATGGCACGACCTTCTTCAACAGCGGCTACGATGGAGGAAAAGTTGTCGTCTGCCAACACCATCTCAGAAGCCGACTTCGCGACTGCAGTTCCAGAACCCATAGCAATACCGATCTCGGCTTTCTTCAAAGCAGGAGCGTCGTTCACACCATCACCTGTCTATAAAATTAAAATAAAAGACCACAAGAGCGTTATTCGTGATCTTTTCGGAATATTATATAAAATAAAAGTTTATTTTTATTAAAATGTAGTTTTATTAAATTTATTTTTTATTTTTATTTAAAACAAAGCAAAAATGTTTATTTTTCCCCTTTTTTTGATTTGATAGCAAAGTGCGGAGTATGGAAACAACGAAAATAATAATAAACGGACCGCAAAGGGCATTTAGTATTGTCAATTTTAAAATATAAAACAGTTGCAATATAAATAACGTGATTAAAGTTCCAAATTCTTACCATAGCAGAGATCTCGTTCATGCTTTGCAAAAACTCCACAATCTTTGATTTGTGAGCCGGTTCTACACGAGAGAAGAGACGAGCTCTGGCGCAAGCCGCCTTCTGCTCCGACGGAGGCAAATCATCAAATTCGCGTCCAGAATACGATTTGCCAGTAGTGTCCTCATCTTCTCCAAAGACTCCGATACGTCGGCAGATAGCTTCAGCGGTGGCTTTGTTGTCGCCGGTAATGACGATGACACGGATACCAGCAGCACGGCACCTGACGATTGAGTCGAACACCTCCTTACGAGGTGGATCAAGCATGCCTACCACACCGACAAATGTGAGATCCTTTTCGTATGTGTAGAATTTGGTAGAATCGCCGAGATCCATATCATCGGGTCTCATCGGATGATCACCAGTGGCCAGAGCGAGGCAGCGCAGAGTATCCCTACCGGTTCCGTATTGCCGAGTCAAGTCAAGGATGCGGTTCTTCAGGGTCGACGTAAGAGGAACTTTCTGACCGCCGACGCGACAGTGCGTGCATCTATCCAATACACCCTCGGGCGCACCCTTGACGAACAGCTTCGGTCCGGTTCCCAGCTTCGTCGGCTTCAGAGGCACACAATACGACGACATGGACTTGCGATCGCGAGAGAATTCCAGCGTGAATTCCTTCTTCCACTTCGTCTCCATATCTTGCCTGACGACAATAGCGCCAGCTCGACGATCTAGACCAGATTTTGAGACACCGAACGGGTTGATCTTCTCAGCGAGAACAATCAAGGCAGTTTCCGTAGCTTCGCCAACCTTCTCAAATGCCTGTTTGAATTCGTTAAAATCGATAGCGGAATCGTTACACATGATGCAAATGGTGCCAATCTCGTGCAACGTCTCGTAATCCTGTCCTTTGATCTTTTGTCCCCTCAGGAAAACCTCACCAATGGGTTCGTAAGTCGATCCGGTGATCTCGAATTCGTGGAAACTGCTGTCGTTACCTTCAATTTTGTCGAAGATGAACATTCTGTAAACATTGTAATAATTCAGAATAACGTACAAACTATCCAGCAATTTCTACGTAACAGAGAAGAAAAAGATATAAATCATTATTTTAATGGTCTTGTTTATCTTACCGGCTAACGGACATCTGGTTGGTCGTCAAAGTGCCAGTTTTGTCAGAGCAGATGACAGACGTGCAACCCAGAGTCTCGACAGACGGCAACGATCGTACAATGGCGTTCTTCTTGGCCATACGCCTGGTGCCCAAAGCCAAGCAAGTCGTAATTACAGCGGGCAGACCTTCGGGAATAGCGGCTACGGCAAGAGCGACGGCGATCTTGAAATAGTAAATAGCGCCCTTGATCCAGGATCCACCGTGAGCCGGATCGTTGAAGTGGCCGATGTTGATGGCCCATACGGCGACGCAGATCACGGAAATCACTTTCGACAGTTGTTCACCGAATTCGTCCAATTTCTGTTGCAACGGCGTCTTGATCTCCTCGGTCTCCGACATCTCTGTGCGGATCTTACCAATGGCCGTGCTCAAGCCGGTTCCAATGACGATACCACGGGCCTTGCCAGCGGCGACGTTGGTACCAGAGAACAAGATGTTTTTCTTATCCTAAAGAAAAAACATCGATACAAAAATTAATTTATTAATTAACAAAAATAATTTGTATTTAAAATATCAACTTTATTTGTATACAGTACGTGTACACAAAATGCTAGTTTTTTTACCGACCTGATTTACAGCACGTGGGTCGGGCACGGGGTCAGTGTGCTTGATCACAGACACCGATTCGCCAGTCAAGATGGACTGATCGATCCTAAGAGTAGTCGAGAAGATCTTGCTGAGACGAATATCGGCCGGAATTTTGTCGCCGACCGACACCTCTACGATGTCACCGGGCACGATCTCTTTGGCCCGGATCCTCTGGACACCGGACTTGTCTTGACGTACAACTTTACCCATCTCCGGCTCGTACTCCTTGAGCGCCTCGATCGCGGATTCGGCATTTCGTTCTTGCCAGACACCAACCACAGCGTTGGCGATCAGAATTAGCAGAATAACGAAAGGTTCGACGAAGGCCGTAAAAGCATCTTCGTGCTCTTCAAATAAGGCTAATACCTGCGAGAGCAATACGTCGATTAAAGAATCTCAAATAAAAATGAGAAACAACGGAGAAGAAAAAAGAGAAAGAAGCGAACAAAAATTTAATAAATCAAAGCTTGTGTTTATCAACAAACGGATATATAAATGTTCAAATTCATACGTTGATGTCAGTGAATAAGATTGAGATTCAACAAAAAAAAAACTTGTTTCGAGAAGCGACAAAGAAATAGAATGTTTCTTCTTCGTCATCGCTAGCACGCGTGAAATTTGGAAAAGTATGTACGCTAGAGAGAAACTAGAGCTTCGACTTCCTAAACAGCACGCGTTTCGTTAAAGTCTCTTTTCTCGAAGCCACGCGTAAATATAACACAATGATTTTAATACACGTATATTTTAGTTTGTACAAATTGTAAATCAAATCCCGTAGTGAATGTTACGCATTTCTCTTAAGCGCTGAAAGGAAATCAGTTCACCATGGCTACTTAAAAGATCAATATGCTATTTTTTCACCACTCGTGGACGATATATTTAGCCTCATTTACCCTTGAACCCCCATAAACATATAATTATGGCGCTTTTAGCGAAGCGTCATAATATACATCGAAAAATTCGACAGGAAGAAGAACATTTCGAATTCGTGCGTTTTTTTATACGCTTCGTCGACATTTGAAAAATTCCGTGAAAATTAAACTGACTTCTTCATTATTTTAACTTTACAATTTTATGGAATATATTGTTGCGTAAGTGTTACGCAAAGATAGATAATTATATCAAAAACTAAAAAACTATACATTCTATAAGATTTGAAATATATTCCATAAGATTTACTTACAAAAGAAATAATAGCAGCTAATAGAAGAATCTTAACTAGAAGATCATCGAACTGTTCCAATACGAGTTGCCAGATGGATTTTCCTGTGAAAAGAAGGATCATGAAACATTAACATTAATTATTACATTAATCTCTTATTTTGCAGCGTAAAAATGTTCATAATAACGTTTTGTAAAATTAATTTTCATGAATACTAATTGTGACATCATTCTATCTTCTAATTCGGTGTTGCGACAAATTGGCATTAAATTAGCATTAAAAAATGCCCATAAAGCGCTGGAAAAAAAACAGTAAAATATTTTTTTATATATTCCAGCTTCTTTAATATTATATTTCAATTTATATTTTATTTTTTTTTAACAATAATAAGACAATCTCTTTTTCTCTCAATGTTTAAATATCCAAATTATATGTACGTAGTAATTATATCATGACGTCGTTCACGTACATATTCACGTAGAGGTTCTCAATTTTAATTCCTAAAGCAACACGTGTTTTCTCATAAACGTAGACTTGATATTACAAAGAAGAGCTTTCGCAAGCAGAACGAAACCTCATTTAATTGCGTCGTCATCAACGAGTGTGTGTTGAAGGAAAATAGTACATGTGCCAGGAAAGAATGATAGCAGTCAGGGGCAGGCCCTGAACGTCCTTGAGATAGCTAGCGCCTTTTGCCCGCGTACGATTGACGTCATATCATTGCTCCACGGTTGACGATTTCATTAAGTATAATTTACAGTAGCGATGGAAAAGACGAGAGAAAATCCGATTTTCTGGATTCTAAATTGCCAGAGCAGAATATCTATATTTCTTCTCTACACAATTCGCGACTCTTTGTTCAATAAAAAAATTGCGTTTTTTCCGAGTCAAGTGATATTTTTGTTTTATTGAAAAAAAATTATTAATTTTTGCGATTTAACAAGTGTTGCTAATAATGTAAGTTTAAACTTACATTACTTAAAAAAAAAAAAAAAAAATTACGCTTTATATCGCATCACTATGTCATTTCTACGCGATACGATGCGATATTAGAGCCTCTCTCGCGCATTTTACCACACAAGTTTCGTGGATTACGCAAGTGAAGTATGTAATATGCACATAATGTTACATAAATTGCACGGTAATGTTGCGGCACACATTCCGCCGCGTCTCGGAAATTAATATCGTGCCATGACGTGCTGCATCGCGAGGACTGCTGCACATTTCTCCTCGTCCCTCTCTTCCCTCTTTAGCCTCTCACCTGTGTGCGGCCAGCACGCTTCATTACCGGATTCGGCGTGTGACAATAGGCGTTGTCAATCGGTCGATATATATATAGAATACACGCGGTATATTCGGAGATACACATGTAACAGGACACGATCACACTTGGGCGTCTGTAAGCGGTCGGATGATTAATTTATGTCAGGAATTTCATCAATGCCCCAACCTTGATCGATCTTCTCTGAGAAACACGCATCTCTCAGAGAATTTCAGCGGAATTTCATAAAACGAAATAAACGAAACTAAACAAAATTTAAAAGCGATAAGACGTCTGCGACCGATCGCGCGTATTCTTCTTCATTCTTTTTGTTTTATAAAATAAACATCTCTACGTTACACAAAGATTTTGATTTTTCTTTTACTATATGCAAAATACGCTTGTTTTTAACTAAATAAAACAGCACATCCTATCAGAAACGCAGTTTGTACACTCGACCAGAAATAACGAATGCCATTTTTTTGCTCAGAAAGTCAGTCTTCTGAATTGCTAATTGCAGCAAGATCGTGTGCAAAAAAAATCGCTGACTCACTATCAGACAAAAGCAATTTCCATTATAAAAAAATCTTCGCTTCTCTCTATTCATTATAATAAGAAACTTGAAAAATTCTATCCAAGCTTATAAAATATTTTTACTATAAAATCTGTTCTTAAAAAACTAGTGTGTTATAAAAACAATATAAAAATCTATCTGTGTATTAAAAAACAGACTAGATCTCGAACATTTTTATCGAGTGTATTGATTCTCAAATAATTCATTGACGTCATAATTTACTTTGCGATCTTATCACCTCATCTTTAATGAATATTGTCGAGAAGACCCATTTATCAGTCATCAAACTCTTATCTCTAATAGACACATATGGCATATAACATATAAAAAAAGCTTCATTTTTATGTCATGTCTGATTGTTAAACGCAAAGTGCAGTTTTATATTATTTTTCAATACAAATTATATATTCGTTGTGATTAAGTAATTGATTTTTTTTAATAATTAACCTATGGAGAAAACTACTAATCTTTTTGAAAAGAAACGGTTAAAAAGCAATACCACAACTCTTTGCATGAAAATTTCGATATACACTTTACGTGCGGTACAAATTCTAACTTCAAATTTTAACTACACCTCCAATATTTACATGGTTGCAAAATATTTCTGCGAAAATTGAAATTGCAAACAATTCTATATGAATCTTAATTACTACACAGAAAAAAAGATTTGCAAAAATAGCAAGAATTAGTTACTATATAACCAGCAAAAAAAATTTGCTAAGTTTATTAAGATTTGCCAATAAGACAATTCGTTGCGCTCACAAAACGTTTTATTGATGAAACAAAAATTCAGTAAACTCAATAAATTTTTCTTGCTGGTCATATAAACGGCAAAGCTTTTTTTCCCGTGTACTCATTTATACTTATTCGTGTTCCGATATCTTTGGAGGACAACGTTAACGATTACAATCGACTAAATTTCAACATTTTTCATGTCTAACTTCGAATCAGAAGATCGCATAAAGATCAGACAATATTGTATATAGTGACTAAATACACAGACGATATATAGTGTATATACAGTGACTAAACATTGTTACGCACGTAAGCTCTTTTCAAAGAACAGTAAAATTTGCGTCGCGAGAGGTTGCTCTATTTTTTTTTTTTTCCACTTGTTACAAGGTAATTCCACAGGCAATAATAACACTAAGCGAATAATGAGAACCTAGTACGACCGGTCGATCCATCACCGAAGGTCGGCGGGAAGATAGCGCGGGTCGAGTGCATCGTCGAGTGCAATGCCGATATAATTACGGGTGAGGTGAAGCGCACGGCGCTTGGCAGTGGTGTCTTTCGATATCGGTGAATGAAAGACGAGAGCCAAAGATCTTTGGTACCTCCGTCGTGCAAAAAATGTCATGCTAATTGTTTCCGTTCAGCGTGGTATTTTGTGGCATTATATTCATGAAAAAAGTGAGTATTCGTTAGAATTTGTTTTATCTTTCTTCTAAGTGATATCTAAGAAATAAAAATTGATCAAATTCGTTCCTTTTTATCTTTGTAATGTTGAATTGGAAAAATATATTTATACCGATTGTACAAACATCAAGTAAAGAGGAAGACATAAAATGTCTGCGTTGACATTGTCATTAGTAAAAAGCTTGCATAAGAAAATAAAAACAAAAATATTGTATCTTGGAAAAACAACATGTTAACATCGTTTATTTTTCTGTATTTTGTTTTCTTTACGTGTACAACAAAAAATAAAATGTAAATGTGTTTCTCTCTCTCTCTCTCTCTCTCTCTCTCTCTCTCTCTCTCTCTCTCTCTCTCTCTCTCTCTCTCTGAATGATAAGTATTTTTTTTTGTTTTTATTGAAAACGTTATGAATTTTCAAATAATTTCAAATAAGCGTGTGCTTCCGAAGCTGTACCGACGATTTCGCAGGCGCCTTCTACGATCGGATCGACACGTCGCGTTCACATGTGCATGCAACGTAGCGCGCGTGCAACGCTAATTCTCAGAGCTTATGGAGCTCCAGGAACAAGCAGACTGGCCTACTTTGATAGCGGACGCGTTCATATTACGTCTAAGCCTTCTCACTTCCACGCGAAAGAAGACCGACGTTTGAACGCGTCGAAACAAACAAGAGAAATATCAGACATTTAAACTTGTGAGTAAATTTTGCAAAAATTGCTGATTCAACGCGGAATCGGTTGTTAACGCGATCTTTAATATAGATTTGACTCTACAAACTAGGTTTTTGCTTTATCACAAATAATTTGCATTTACTACGTCGTATGCCAATTTGTCGTAAAACACGAGTTTTATCGTACACGAAGATTACGAAGTCGTTACTCACCCTCCTCAGCTGGCAATTCTGCAACAGAAAAACAGGAAATACATTATTATCAAATGAAAAAACAAATAAGATTAATTACATCTTTAAAGAGAACTAACGACAGACTTTCGTCTAAAAAAATAATTTGTTTTCATTTTACATTGTTTAAAAAAACTGTTTAAAAAAAATCTATTAATTATCTATAATCTAAATATATTACAGCATATCAATAAAAAAATTAAATCGTAAAATGTTGAATGGTAAATAATGCTGTAAATATGTACATAGAAAAAAAAAATGATACGTGTCTAATATTGAAAGTGTTTGATCACATTGTAAAGGGTCAGCTTTAAGGTGTCCTATTTGAAATTATACCGAGGTGCAGAGATTCCTCTGCAGAGTTCCTTAATTTCTATTACTCGCGTAAATTGAAGGAAACCGCGAAAACGAATTTGGTGTGCAAAATGGGTGTATTCTGTGGTTAAGCGAAGCGTGCGGGTGACAGTTTGCGAAGCGTTAAATCTTCGGAAGATTTATGATAGACGATATACGATGTGGTGCGATATAATGCGAGAGAAATTGGAGTCTTCAAAAGTTAGTCAAGTCGATTTTGTTGAATTTACTTTAATTTTGCTTTCAAATTTTACACGTGCAAATGAGTCTTCACGCATCAATTACACGTCATTTTGTTTGCAAAATGTTTCAAAAATTATCTCGAATTATAAATTCTTTGATTACACATACGTATGCAACTTCAAACTATATATATATATTTTTTTTTAAATCAAACGACTTTGTATCAACATATCAAGAAATTTCCAAATATAAGAACCGTCATATGTTTTCTAATACGATATTGAAATGGAGCAGTGCAACGAGCAATCGAAAGGTCAGACGCATATATTTTTAACTCAAGCGAGGGAATCTCCGATCTGGTTTAATCTACGAGGTCGATTACTCTGTCGAGCGTTCATTAACGTCTCGAAATTGACCGTGTGTGTGGAAGTTCCCGTGTTTGTGAGTTCTAATAGCACCATCGTCGTATAAATATTTACGCATCCCAAAAACTCAGAGCTTCGCGTAAGACGAGAAGCCTTTCCTTGCCGAAGAAAATCGGGCGAGAACACGTTTACTGTAGTTATTAAAAAAAAACACACACGTGCGCGAACAAATTTCAGGCTCATCATCGCATCAGTTTCTTTAAATTTCCATCCAATTAAAACTTTATTGCATTATTTTCTTTTGTTAAAAAAAAATTGTTTACATGTTCTTGAATTTCATAATATTTGACAATTTAGTTATCTCCGGATTATAATTCTGTGTCGTGTCGCATGCTCTTCCCGCACTTAAAAATAAATAACGATTGCTTCTTGCGTTAAAAAGATCGAGGACGAACATGGGGAAATATCGTGTCGCGGTGGAAAAGCGACTGTCCGTCAAGGCGAGCGCGTCGTCAGCAACGGTCGTGATATAACACGCGTGGAGTTCCACGCGTGAGAGGAAAAACAGAGAGACACGTGGGAGTCATTGATTCGTGTACTGGATCAGGCATAGATTTCTCCTTGAAAGGCTGTCGCGCGATTGACGTGTTCAACAGTGGACACGTCGCTTCCCGTGAAACGCACATCAACGGCGGATTCTGAAAGACCGCGCGTAATTCTCCAAGTCGGACGTGAAAGCGTTTGTCGGGTGAGAACAATACCTTCAATTTCACGTCGATTTGCACTTCGGCAGACTCGTTAATTCGCGCACGCCTCGCCGTTGTAACCGAACGTCATATTTAGACGCAATTGTACTTGAAATTATATTACCGACCTTCGAATATATCAATAACGACTTTAGTGTATCACGCAAGAGAAATCCGCATCTATTTATGCGCAGACACGTACAACAAAAGCGTAAAGGAAACTATTCAAACATTATTTTTATAACAATTTTTTTTGCAAAAAAGCGCTGTTTTGCTTGAAAAAAAAAAACAATAAAAACTATATATTTTCGGTCTACGTAAATACATTTTAACAAATGTTAGCTTCTCTGTGTTGGATCAATCAAAGCTAACGAAGTTAGCTAATGCGACAAAAATGCTCTCGATGGTGGAAGAAAAATATCGATACCTGGATAGGGTCTGAACGTCATAAGCGCGTCCCTAGATATACGCGCGATTCCACGGCGAGTGGCATCGATCGCATTTTACGCACACCACGAATGCGGGAGTCAGTTACGGGATCATGTTGGGCGGAAGCGAATGCTGGCGCGATCGGGGACAGGCCGAGAAAAGAGCCTGAGAGGTTTTCTCGCGCGCCGTGTGTGTGCGAGAGCGTCACGGATTTATCACGCGACAGTGAACGGCCGCACAAAGCCGATGGATACTCTCTCGCGACAAACAAATCCATCGTCGTGCATTGAACGACACGGGGCCGGCAAGCTGAACTGTGTGCTAACTTTAGAACGCGAACTTGCTCCGGGGCGAGATTCGCGCGTCCGAGGTGGCAAAACAAGTTCCGGTCCAAGTTTCGTGAACTTGAAGATGCTCAACGGTCCGTCGAATTGCAGAAGCACGAAGCAGCAATAAACACGTCCGACTTGTGTAAAACGATCTCTCGCGCGTAACCCACACATATCTCTATTTAAATGTATAATTTAACAATAACAATTTTAATTATGTATTTTTAATTATATAGTTTTTAATTATGTACTTTTAATTATATATTTTTCACAAAAGTGTAAATTATAACGAATAATAATAATAATTTACATATATAAAAACATGTACAATGTCACGAAGTGTCCGTACGTAAAGTTCGAGTGTTAATTATACACGATTACTTCGGCTAAAATATCACGAAATACAATAACGAAGAAATTCGAGCCGAAATAAAGCGCGATGGGTCTTCCGCTGCATATAGCATTCGAGAGACCAGGAAAAATATATACCGACGAAAAAAAATGTCAATACAGATATATACACAATATACATATATGTGGAAACCGCATGCGGCAGTATACCGATCGATTTGGCATGCATTTGGCGGGTTAACAGCGATAAATAAATTGTGCCGTCGCATAACATAACGCGAACTCTCTTTTTCACTCGTTCGATTTGTCATTTTTTTTTTTTTTTTTTTTATGACAGCTCGACGTGTATTCTGTCACACGAATAAATGCGGCTTGACAAATGAAAGTTAACCACGGAAATGGGAAACAAGTGTCGCGCGCGCGCGCCGCGCCGTTTGTGGAAGTGCGCGATGCATTTCCTCGTCTAAGGTCATCCGCGGAACTAATCTGCAATTACGATTGCGATAGATGAAACGTCAGCCCGCGCGTTCGTATATACAAGTGAGTGAGTAACGTTTTAACATATGTACATATGTGCGTGTCGAGGTCTCAATATCGCACACGGTGCTCGAACGCGAGACTAGATAAAACAACATTGTTTGACGATACTCGACTCCGACCACTCGTATCACGAGAAGGATTTTCATTTAATCGTGTACATATAATTTTTTTTTTTTTCACTTAAACATTCAAGATAATTTTAATCAAAATTTGTTTTGTAACGTTATACATCGCACAGAAATATCTGATCGCACACGTGTGAAATATACAAGACGTGTGTCAAGAGTTTTATTCGAGTAGCAGGAAAATTCCGTGAAAAACCTGTTAGAGTGGTAATGCAACGAGCTTTAACGCGAGACTCCATCAGAAAATCTCACTTAGAGATTCGATATTCGATATTTATCTCTCGGTTTGGTGCGATGAGATTTTTAAACTCGTCCGCGCGATTGTATTTTCCCTCGTTAGAAACATGTATAAGAAAGTTTTCTACTATTGATTGGTCACACTACACTTGTCGGCGATAAAACAAGACGATCGAGGTAAAGTTCGTTCGCGAGTTTCTAACGGAAGTTTTCGACATCTTGTTATACAAGATACGCCCAACACACTTATCTCTGTTGAGACATAACCGTATAGTTAATTTATTTTACCTAATCTACACTCTTTTGCCGGTTATATTTTCTGTGTAGAGATAACTTCTGCATCGTGTACATATTTTTTTTTTTTTTTTTCTATCGATCTTTTTCGTGCGAATTTAATCATTATGTTTTATACAAATATTAAGTGTTGTAACAAATTTTGAATATTATCACTCGTACAAATTTAATATTTCTACGCGTCCAGCGTATTTTGAAGCATATTTGTTCACGTTTGCGCTCGACATTTACATGAAATATAGTATAGTTGTTATAAAGTACTATAATTGATATTTTAATTAAAAATTCGGCGTTTTAATCAAACGACACTCGTTGAAAACACTTTGTATGCGTGTGACGCGATTGCGTTTAGTTTTTAATCAAAACTCTCGATTGTAATCAAAGTTATGTTTTTTTTTTAACGTTTCGGCAGCTGTAATGTCAAAAGTTAATTAATCGTTATTTTATAATTAAATCCGGGGTTCAAAGAAGTTTTACTGTGACTTCCTTACATTTAAAGAACGCGACACGCGATATAAAAGAAAAAGAAATCGTCATCGCGATCGAATGACGTAATGAAAAAGGTACCACATGTTGAGGAATAATAATGAGCGCAACGTTCGGGCTCGAAGAACATCGATTGAATGAATTAATTTAATGGATAATCGGTTGCGAGAGAGAAAAAGAGGGTGTGATAGAGAGAAGGAAGCGATATCGAAGTGCAACAACGCGCCCAAGCGCGTTAAATATCACGGCACGATGCGACTTTAAAGAGCGACCTTAAAATGAATTAACCTCACTCAGCCGCGTCAACTCATAATGCAATTTCACCACACTTGCGCGATTTATTAAGCGATTTATTAAGCGCCGAGCGATTTTTGCGGCTGCCTGCGTGCCGCGGCTATTTACGTAGCTCGAGTAACGCACGTCACGATTCATTATGCGATCTAAAAGTAGCTCTTATGTCAAATTACAAAAATTATAAAAATGTTTCATTCTTTCTTTTTTTTTATAATCATTTCTTATGGGAGAAATTGCTATTCGTTAACAACAGCACGTAAGCTAGAA